CGCACGCGACAGAGACTGGTGTCCATTATACTTCGCATCTCTCTCTCTCCCTGGTGGGAAAGACATCATCAAAATGGCATGATAAAATGGCATTCATTTAAAATCACAAAGTTTGAATACTTGATAGCCAAGAGTAGATGATCTAGAGTCAGTGCTGAAAATGCTGTCTAGACAGACAATATCGGCTTCGAAGTTAAACAGTCTACTTCTGATTGCATAACTATGCCAATGTAAGTGAACCAGAAGATTGTAGGGAATTTGGACGATTCGCTTTCGCAGGTTATTTCTTATATGGTTAGGAGGAATTGACAAGCTTTCCAGAAACGTTTTCAATATCATCCTTTGATTTTATCCCTCAGTGACTACAGTCATTTGAATGTAGATAGCTGTGATTTAGGTATTATAGCTTAAATTTCTAAGTCAGGTATCTGTCTGCTAACTACTATGAACTCATATCATCGTGTAAATTGGATTTTAAAAAAAAAGGTGAAAACGATCCTGTCTTCTGGTCTGTTCAGTCATCAGCTGTTCGACATGAGTACTCATGGAATCTATTAACAATAAATGAAACAAGTTTGAGTCGTGTGAAGGTGTCAAATCTAGTCACGACTACATATCCATCTCGTGATTCAAAACAGACGCAATTACTTCAAATATGCTGCCCACGTTAATAATAACAACCACGTATATATTATGCTTGACAAGAAATAAGCCAAAATAAAGAAAATCAATACAGAAAATTGAAAAAGTATACATTAAAACGGGAGATTTTTGAGAAGTAGGCATCTTAGTGGGACAAAAACAGTTTCCAAGAGTTTATTTGTCGGGATTTGATTTGTTTCAAGTTTGATAGCGGACTGATATCAGTTAGAGAAATATTGAAAACCAGTTGGGAGTACTGGACACCTGTTTCATCTTAGTTTCAGACTCATAGGCACTACCCACCCACAGGGGTTCAAATCCAGGTGCTTCCAGTTACAAGTCAATCTCGAAGACCATTCAGTCACTTTGACTTACCCAGTGACCCACAAATTCCAGCCTCTACCTATTCGTGATATTAGCTCAACTGCCACTAGCCACTGTCATTGGTAGTGAGTATTTGTTGTCACCTCCGACCTAGTGAACTCTACTGGTCACGCATCTTGGGTCCCTATCATACTGGATAAGTAATGTTTCCTGAAGTAAGGAGCATTAGGAATAGCCAGATCAAGATAGGCTGCAACTCCATAAAATCACTGGCTTTTAATTTGACCTAATAATTGAGTTGGTGTAGATAGTTTGACTTGGAACCTGAAGACGACGTGGATCAGAGGTCATGAGTTCTTTGTGTATTGACATAATGTCGTCAATACAGTAGTGCAGTTGTATTTACTCCATGTCGTCTTCAAGATTATGCTAAGTTTCTCTAGCCTTCATTTCAGTCTTCTCTTCATTAAACCTATAATTATCTGTTTTGGTATCAGCACATTTCCGTTCATCCAGTTGGTGTCCATCTTTGAAGTTTCACAGCTTAAATTGAATCACTAATGTGTAGATCGCTATAGTGGTTAGTTATTCATTTTGTTTTAATTGACTTCTAATGAAAGACGGTTATATTTGCTTGACAATTCTTAGTGAAATGAAATATGGAACTTGTATTTTATGTTTCAGTTCGAATTGATTGAATTTGGAGTAACATTCTCTCTCCACAGAATTATTGCTATTAGTCGTTTGGAGGAAATCGGCAGGAAGCCTTCGACCTAGGTTTCACGACTGTTAACACTAGTCAACCAGATGATCTTTAAATATTCCCATTTTTAATATTAGAACAAGACATATAAGAGAACAATATTGTTTTCAATTAGATAGTCTTCAGGCTTTACTCTAATTTACATAGACATATTTAAAAATTTTAACCAATGACGGCGATTTTGTGGATCAAATAATAATAATGTGGTAAATGTTTTGAACGAAGTTAATAATGTTGATTATAATGATAACAAAATATTGATAATAAGGTTTATGCAGGTAGCGATAAGAATAACAAAAGTAGTAATATGTGTATATGTAGACAATTCAATAAATAAATTGTGTCAAATCTCAAAAGTTACTTAATACTAAAAATCAAGTGGACAGATAATCAGAGTTTAAATAAATATCATAAACGTACGAAGGAGATGGAAAATAAGAAAGGGTGGGAGGGTTTTGAATACAATTCACCTAGGCCAAGGGAACAAACTTCTTTTGTATGCAAAGACTAGGATTCTTCTCTCGAATTCCCATAGCTTCGGCTATGTGTAAAAGACGGGTTCGAATTCTGTTCGAAGGGCTCGAGGGAATGCGATAGATAACTTTGAAGGCACTATTTTTGTCCACTTGGTGACCGCTATCAATCAAATGAGCCAAAATAGAACTTATCATAGATTTTATTTGACCCTTTCCGAACCATGAAGGAAAATGCTCATTAATGCGTTTGTTGAGCTGTCTAGTTGTTCGCCCTATATAGCTTTCTCCACAGGAGCAACTAAATTTATAGATACACATAGAAGTGGCACAGCTAGGTAGCTTGTCTTTCACTTGAGCAATCATAATTCGTCGGCTGGAAAATGACAAACAAAGGGTGGCGGCAGTATAAGTCCGTTTTATCGCTCTCGATAATCTCAGATGTAAGACTTCACTAGCCACGTCCCCATTAAATTGCAATTTCATGAACAGTTGTTTCTTTTTAACTGTTGTCAGTTTCTCTTTATTGTACCTGGTGTTCATGTGTCTCCTTACAAATCTACTAGGATAACCCATTTGGACCAGCGTATTTTGGATGTATCCTAACTCATTTTCTAGGGAGTCATCTGTACAGATACGTCTTGCTCTATTCGTGAGGCATCTGACCAAATTGATTTTGTATCGGATTGGTACAAAACTGAGGAAATGTGTATATTGTCCTACAGATGTAGGTTTTCTATAGACATCTCTCTTGAGTGAACCATCCTCTCTTCTGCTCAACTGAACGTCAAGGAAATGTAGTCTACCATCATGATCCGCAATCTTGAAGGAACTCACGTACCTTCTGATAAACACTTCAATACATTTCAACAGGAAGGCTGATTGTGTGCCCGAATAGCTTAGTGGTAACATCATTGACCGCAGCACTGGGTGACATCAGGTTCAAAACTCAGAGGGGACATCATTTACTCTGAGGTTGCAGATACTACTTGCTGGTAGGTGTGCGCCAACAAGCACAAAGCCTAGGTCAAGCATGGCATCTTGAAGATTGTTTCCGGCCGTCTAACAACAAAAATTTTGAGTGGCCCGTGATGGTGGGCCACCTGCCATGGCATCCACATTGTAAACCTGACTGACAGAATTCAGTCTACACGCAATAAAGCACTAGACACACGGCACTGGTCACTCACTATCAAAGTACACATACACTATGCCAGTTTAACTCTGTGCTAAGCCCATCACTTTTAGTTAAGCGAGATGAACACATTCTATTGAATGCGCCATTAAGTACAAGGGATAATTAGAAAAGCAGTCTTGAAAACAAGCTGTAATCACGACTAATAATTAGACTGCCATATAATTCGGCAATTAATCATTTTGTTTAAACTCCAACCTGGATCTAACTACATGTATTATTTTTGTGTTTACTCAGTACCTTATTTCATATCTTAATGCTGCTTGAATTGTTTCAGCCTTGGCTTGAAGAAGACAATTATTTAGCACCTGTCACTGCTGTACTAGTGAAATATTTTTTTGCTTGAAATACAGATAAACCAAGGAGAAAAGTTGGCTGTCTTTTGAGCAGAGTTTAGTTCAGGCCCTATGTTGTTGGTATTCATTGTTAGGATTGAGCATCTATAGGCAAATTAAATTCTTAAAAGAGTGTAGCTCCTCTTCTGTGTATACAGTTCACGGTTTACCTGTCTAATAATAACAGTTCAAGCTGTAGTCTGAACCCCTGCCGACTACTCGGCCTCACCCTATGCATTACTTTGATATATTTCTCTGGTGATGTGGTCTGAAGCTTAAGAACAAGGAGCTTAATTTAACTTGTAACATGAATGTTAGCTGACATTGAAGTCTTTGCTTCAACAAGCTTGAAAAGAAAGCGGAGAAGATGATTTAGCTTCTTCAACTCAAACGAACACTCATGTTACAAGTTAGAAAATAAAGATAAAAGCGATTCGAAAATATTCATCTTTGTTTCTCTGCGTCTCACCTTTTTCACTCTATCTCTTATTCACCAAAATGTCGAAGATAATGTTCCAATGTTCGTAATATCCATGTTTATGTGTCAGCTCAATTACTACAGTGTAGGTGAGTACATAGGCGGCACCAGTAGGATATTGTCTAGATGTGCACAAGAATATATTTCAGTATTGTTGTCAAGTGCGTAGGTGGCACAGCGGTAGGATGCTCGCAGACCACGCATGTCGTCCGGGGTTCGAACGCCGGCCGACGACTCACCCCTTTGCCTCGCTAAGCCAGTACCAAGGCTCGTAAACAGGGAAGGTTAGACATAAGGCTAGCAACCCCATCCCGTAAAAATAATCACCACTGCTACAGAAACTTCAAGTCTCTAGCTTGAATGACAGCTGTTGCGCATTCTTCAAACCAAACGAAAAAGAATGCAGAGAACTGAGTGAATTGAAGATCTGCGGCTGAAGGCCCATGTTCCACTCCGAATCCAAGGGATTAATGATTATGCATATATATATATATTCAAAATCCATTAAAATATATAATTATATTTCTGAACTATTTGGCATCATATGCTTATTCGTTGATATCAATATTTTTACAAATCATTCGAACAATGAAATGGGACGGAATAATTGTTTCCGAAGTCGATCTATGCATCAATAATACACAATTTAATTAGTTTTTTTTTCACACTAACTCGAAATTTGACCCACATTTTATTGATTATTCACAGTAATAACCAAATATTGAATCCGTATTTTGTGTAGCTTAAATTAGTATATAAGGTCTTGCTCAATCTTCACACACTACCACTTATGGTTGTTATGCTTAGTCCATGCATAAAGGTAAGTAGTTTTATCTTATGTGTCTCTTTTTCTTTTGCTTCCTTTACGTTCCCATTGGAACATAGGGCACCTTCAAGCTAGAGACTTGAAGTTTCTGTATCGGTGGTGTTTCTTTTTACGGGATGCCATGCCCAACCTTCCCTATTTACCAGTCCTATTACTGGTTTAGGGAGGCAGTTGAGCACCCCGGCTTGGGATTGAACCCCGGACCGCATGCGTGGTCAGCGAGCATTCTACCGCTGTGCCACCGACGCACATATGTATCTCTATGACTGATGTTTAATTTGTCTATTTTACTTTCTGCTCTCTTTTAGTTATTATTGGCGGCATTATGTCTACAAATCACCCTGTGTGAATGCCATACTCCTGTTAACAATACAGGTAAGTTCCCCCTTGGGTCTAACAATTTTCTGCATCTTGTGGCACTGTTTTGAAATTTTAAAAAAATAATAATTTTAAAATTTAGATCTCTTGTGATCTTCATCAGTCACTAATGATGAGAAAAGTGTTCATAGTTGAACAGCTGACGATTAATATATTTTTTGGGTTAGACCATGGATTAATATCAGTTAGAGAACCATTGAAAGTCACCAGGGAGTACTGGACAGTGAGTGAGCTGGCAACTGGTTACAGGACGAAATTGTCTGGAGTTGTCTAGTGAGAAGTCATAACCAGTGGGGTCTATCCAGTCGGGAGTGAGGATGGTTAGCGGTAGCGGGTCCCAGTGGCTGAATGGTCTATGAGATCACCTTTTAACTGGAAGGTCCAACGTTCGAACCTTGGTGGGTACATACTGCCGAAACACCTATCTAGTACTCCCAGTTAGTTTCCAATGGTTCTTCAACTCATATTGATCCGTGATCTAACCTGGAGCAAATAAAATCCCTACAAACTAATTCTTGAAGATTAAAATATGATCATAATTAAATATGTGGCACTCTATAGAAACCCAAGATGATTATTCAATGTAAAAAGTACTCACCAGAAGACTGCACAGTGTCTGGACTGATCACTTACAGTTTAACGCATCTCCTATTCTGATTCTTTTGTTTTGATATTACTGTTTATAATAATGCTGACTGAAAATGATTGTAGTGCCTGTTCTACAAATTCCTAAATTGGCGAAACTTTGTAATCTCATTAGGAACCTGATTAAATTATTGAACCAGCGAAGTTCCTACTTTACTTCACATAGTCCCTTACTCTGTTGCCATACCCATTTTAAAATAGTTTTCAGTAGCTTAAAAATCCTCATTGAGTCATATGGAAAACAGAGAAGACGTTCAGTGAAGAGACTCTTTTTGCCGGCAAAATTCATTCACATAGCTGTACAATTGCATTTATATACAATTATTTGTATGGGTGTGTGTGCATATGAAGTTTGTCAAGTTTAGATAATTGACTAGGTAATACAAGAATGATCTAGTATAGAAACAAGCTTAATTAGACAACAACTAAAGTAAGATTGAGTTAGTGAGTTAGATGGCGTAATATAATTGACTAAAATGTTTCAACTTAGGTCAGGATAGCAACAGAGGTAGTTACAGGTAGACATTAAGTAGAGGTAGGTTAGAGAATAATGACATTTAAATTAAGACTAGAATTTGAGCAAATAAATTGGATGATGTAACATAAATAACTAGAAATTGAGCGTTGGTCAAGTCAGAAACAGTGTAGAAATAAAATCGGGTGGGGGTAGAGAACAGAAAAGTTGAAAATATAAAATATTACAATTACAATTACAACAATAAGACTAATGAAGAGACAGAAAGAAAGAAATAGAATTTGCCTGTCGGGTATTAAGATAGACTACGTCCATTGCAAGTGTAGTGATTGTGGACGAACTTCTTCTGTATGCAGAGTTCAGGACTTACCAAGTGAATTGCCATTGCTTCTACAGTTTGAAGAAGTTTGACTAGTACACTTTTAGAAAGACTGCTTCGTATTCTGTAGACGACTTTGAAGTTTGTTTGATGTGTAGCTTAGTGTCCCGAATCTACCAGATGTTCTAAGATAGAGCTGTGGGGAGCATCGTTTTTCACCTTTGTAAAACCATGACTGTGGGTAAGTGTTCGGTGATACGTTTGGATAGCGAACGCTGGATACGGCCGACATACCTGGCTCCACAAGGGCAGGCAAACTGGTAGATACACATTGATGAGGCCAGCAGTTGTAGCTTATCCTTCATGTTCATACAAATCATAGTTTCTAGTCTGTATTTCTGAAAGTTTCTCTATGTAAGCTATAAATTCTTCAGTAGAATTTTGCAGAAGAAATTCCTTCCAGGGAAAAGTACAGCTCTAAAAAACTTAGATTTATTTTTAGATGTTCCTTTACATAAACTGCATATACTTTCATTATTATTATTACTTTTAGCTAATACTACAGAAACGTTGAATGCATCTTCAAATGTGAAACAGATTGTCAATCCTGTAAAATCACTAACACTTCACTTCTGTCCATCAGCTAGAAAGAGAAATGGTATTGATCCTAATTCAAGTAAGTTTAAATTCTTATTTTCATCTAAATTTCACCTGGTAATCTTAAGGCTATTAGTTTGAATGTTGTCAAGGTCACTATCAGTCATCCATCACTTTTTGTTTTACATCTATAACAGATATTTAGTCCAATAATTGACCAGATAGTCTCACTAATATAATTAGAGCACAATTTGAAATTCCCCGCCAGAATAAGTGTGAATCAATTAAACAAACAAATTAAAAATGGATTTGAACGCATAGAGGTGGTTTAAACTTTCTAATTGCCAGGTAGGGCTTCCACAAACTTTAGGATACGCCCCAAACACATTTTATAGATAGGTTTAAAAGATCTGTTAGAAGCTAGGTCTCCTGTTCTCACCGTTAATGGGTTCTGAAGATTCCATTTATTTCTGGAAACATATTAGAGGGGCAGGACATAAAAATGACGTCAACATATCTTTTAAACCTCTCTATAAAACGTGTTTGGGGCGTATCCTAAAGTTTGTGGAAGTCCTAGCTGGCAATTAGAAAGTTTAAACTACCTTTATGCTTTCAAAGCAACAATTCATCATCACACGAAACCTTCCTTGGTAAATTTTGTTTTGATACATACCAGGGTAGATGTACTATTACCTCTTTTATTTGGTTTAGTGATCGTCACTGTTATTTAGACCTTCAATATGTCGTTTCAACTTGACCTAAATTTATTTTCTGACCTCTTATCTTTTTATTAATTTCATATATATTCCTATGACAAGTCGGTGTGTGTGATCAGATTGTTCGAAATGTGTTGCGCAAATACATTCGTTAACAGATCATTTAAACCTATCTATAAAAATGGATTTAATGACATTTTGATAATTAAAGCAGCCTATCTGCTAACTAGACCATCCGAAGTGTACATCAATGACGTATATAAAGGTCCTCTTGGAAATGGTATAAGGTATAGAAGGATACGATCCAGTGACGATTTGAATCAACTAAACTACGATTAACTACGATTAAGTTTATTTCCTCAGGTGGGAGGGGGGTGGAAACTGGAATACTGAAGGCCTTCATATTGTACATTTTAGAAGGGATCCATCTTATATCAGAATAGAATTCTAATGAATAGTTATTTTTAGCATAGTCCACAGTAATCAATTGAATTGTGGCTAACTCGGTAACTTCATTGGTGGTTATGGTCTATATAACCAGATACATAGAGGTTTTCCACTTTTCTTGATTCCTTTGTGCTCCAAGTGGAACATAGGACTTCAATCATGAGGGGTGAAGTTTCGGGAGCAATGGTATTTATTTTTCTTTACGAGGTGAGGTTGTTAGCCTCCCACCCAATCTTCACTCCCTCTTTAGGACTGCATCAGCCGGGAATCGAATCCCAGCCCACTTGAGTCGTGGTTGGCAAGTTTTCCGACAATTAGCTACAGACGCATGATTATAAAGCCAAATATAAAGATTTTACGCTATGCATGGAAGTCTTAAACCTTCTAGCTCTTATACGCTCTTTTTCAAATCCTGGAAAAGACACCAGTCAAGAAAACTTGAGAGAAATGAACAAGAAGTATTCAGCAGCAAACAGATATCTTTCCGAAGATTTCATTCTCAAAAGCACCTGTACAATCATATTTATATAAATAAGTTTACATAGATACAATTACTCTTTGATTCTATATATTAACAAAGGTGATAATAATTTTCAACTTGATATGAAAGTTCGAAAGTGTGCGTATATAAAGGGCTTAGAAAAGAAATCACACGGTTTTAGAAAGTAGTTTATTTTTAAAAGAATGAGGGGAATGAAAAAACAAAATAAGAAAACTAACCAGTCAAACCGCTAGTTACTAGATCCCTGGTAAATTTAGACTTTCGACTGGTTTCATATTACCCAGTGGAACGTTTCGAACAAAATTTATTGTTCATAATCGTATCAGTTATAATCACACAGTTTTCTTTGTTCTCACCTATTTGTCGTCGTTGGGGTAGTAGAATTTTCCAGATATCTGGATGGACAGGTGTTGAATCATTCCTATTACACGTGTTTGCAGTTGATTCGATAAATAAAGCTTGTGTTATCAATCTCTCCCTCCACCCCGCTGTTGCATTATATTTTAAAACTGTCATCTCATCCTATTGTATGGTTGTGTGTAATTGCATGTAGTGAGTGCTATGGCTGAACTATTCTCTACATCTCTTATCTTATTCAGGTCAACTAATCCAGATTTTGCTAGGTTTTTATGCTCGGCTGACTGACTGCCCCTGTTCTACTACTTTGACCTATTTATTTGACCTGACAATCATTGCAGGCAGGGCATTAAATAAACCAAATTGTTTTGTTTTAAAGGCTCCATAGGATTGATCCTTTAACCGACAAAGTTTGTTTCTAATTGAGTTTGTGGGTGGTTTGAATGCAAGCCACTTTTATTCCTGCCTTGTTAAGAATTCTGCGTACGGATTCCGAGGTTCCTTCCTTGTATGGAATTACTACTGATGATTTAGATTCTTTATTGTTGGTGTCGTCATTATCTTGTGCAGGTTTGACATGTATGTCGTCATTAATATTATTATCATTATTATTATTATCATTATCACTACTGTCATTATTTATCACATTATTTTTACATTTCCCTACATACTTTCTCACTAATTATTTTATCAGGGTAATTATTAAGTTTCAAAGCTTCTCTTATAATATCTCACTTCATGTCTTAGATTTTCCTTGGTACTACTTAGTCTTTGTGCTCTATTAATTAAACATTTCAGCAGTCCTATTTTCACTGATATAGGATGGATTGATCGGAAGTCCAAATATCTGTTTGAATGTACGGGTTTCTTGTAAACACTAGTGTTTAACTTCCAATCTTCTTTCGGTTAGTTTTTCGGGACATATAGTGAGGACTTCTGCAGTAAACCCTGCCTTTGATAGATTTTCGTTTGCTTTATAAATGAGTCTGGATGATGGATCAGGTGTTGACGAAGTGTTCAATTATGGCTCTTCTGATTGAACCAGTACCTCCTTTTTGCAGCTCTGCTGAAATAATAGGCTATTTCTACTATTGAAAGGCGGTTAATGAACGTCAGGATGCTTTAAAACTACATAAAATTCTTCCTACTGAAAACTTTCAACATGAAATATCAAACGTACTGCAATTTGGAGCTTTTTTCAATTAGTTTACTCGATCAAGAGTACATCTTAAACGCTAAACGTTTTTGACAACTTTATTAGTTTTTTCCCTTCCATAACTGATTCATATATCTTTATGTATTCGACACTTTGTATTCACTCTTTCTAAAATTTTAGCCGTACCACTAAACAAAAGAGGTGTGATTAGCCATCATATACCAATTCAACATTTAATTCCATTACATCATGAATTGAAGTCTATATCAGTGAATTTCGACGCCAAATGTCTTCCTAAACCTATTCCATGTGAGTTCAATATATAATATTTTATCATATATATATAGCTATGTAAAAGAAATTAGCGATCTTTTGCCCTAAACTACATACTATATATATATATATATATACCTTTCAGCAATTGAAATAAGCACAAGTGATTATAACTAGAAGTTTTGCCGGAAGATATACCTTTCATCAAACTGTTTATCATGTTAAGAAATCTGTCTTCTCTAGCTAAGTAGAGATACATAACCCCATATTTTGACAGCTGGACGATAGTGATAAATAATAGTAATAATAATAATATCTTTCAAGTGTTGGTTTGTAGGGATTTGATTGGTTACAGGATTTTTATCATGAGCTGACATTAGTTACAGAACCATTGGAAAACCAGCTGGGAGTACTGGAGAGCTGTTTCGTCAGCCTAGTTTGAGACTCTTCATCAGTACGCACTCACCAGGATTCGAACCCACGACCTTCTGGTTACAAGGCGAGCTCGTATACCATTAAACCACTGGGACCCGATTTAATGGCCAGTGCATGAATTCCAACTTCTGCCAATTCACGACATAGCGCGACCCCTAGCCAATGTCTTCGGCGAGTATTTGTCCTCACACCCGACCTGCTGCACCCTACTGGTCACGACTTCTCACTAGCGACTTGCCCTATTCAGGTAGGTAGTTACCTGGGGTTCTAGTGAGAAGTCGTGATCAGTAGGGTGCAGCAGGTCGGGTGTGAGGACGAATACTCGCCGAAGACATTGGCTAGCGGTTGCGCTATATCGTGAATTGGCAGAAGTTAGAATTTATGGACTGGCCGTTGGATCGGGTCCCAGTGGTTTAATGGTCTACGAGCTAGCCTTGTAACCAGAAGGTCGTGGGTTCGAATCCTGGTGGGTGCATACTGGTGGAGAGTCCCAAACCAGGCTGACGAAACAGCTGTCCAGTACTCCCAGGTTTTCCAATGGTTCTCTAACTAATATCAGCTCATGATGAAAATCCTGCAATAATATCTTTATTCTGGACAGTATTTAGAAAATGTACAGAATTTTCAGAGGAGTTTATTGCATGATATTTTCCCTTCGTACAGTCAATATCTTCAAGTAAAATATTAATTGACAGTAGTAAATCGTCTGACACAATGGTGTCTCATCTGAAGCAAAAACCATTCCATTATGAAACATCTGCTTTGTCTCTTTAGAAAAATCCATGATATCTAGTTGAAGGCCAATTCTAAAATGTCCAGAAGTACATTTTGAAAACCAGGGACGTAAATGAAGGATAGTTATCTTATGTATTGGAAAATGCTGCCACCAGCAATCCGGCCATTCCTCAAATTTAGTAGGAACTTAGGCTCAGTTAAGCTTTAAACACCACTAACTACCAATGGAGTGCGGCCGCACCAATGACCTTGAAACGCCTACAGAGCAAGTTAGTGAAACCTGGCAAATAATGTTATCATCATCAATAAAATATGCTCATCGAAGTGTTATGCTATTTAATAGGATTTCTGGCAAGTTACAGCTTACGTTTGGGAAAGATTAAGTTATGCTTTAAGCTAAGGACAAGTTAGGGTTAGGTTAACCTAATTAAGACAACATTATGGTTGGTTCGAGTTGGATCACAGTTTGCTTAGGGTTAGGTTCAGGAAAGATTAGGGTTATTGTTAGAGCTAGAAGACCTAAATAATTACATGCATAAAATGTGGTTAAATTACTCTGTTGATATAAGAAAAGAACTTGTGCACCGTGGTGGTAGAGTATAATTCTGATGACGTTTCGATCACAACTTGTTGCCCAGTAAATATTACTGTATAATACTATGAGACTTTATCAAAATAAATTTTTACCCACAATGGAATTATACTTTGAGTTATACTCTGTTGATACTCCAACCTAAAAACTGGGGCCTATTTTTATCACATGTGAGAGCAAGGTACCCTCTGTAAAACTTTTCTACAGCTTTTATGCATTTTTTCCATAAATATTTGTATTCCGTACGCAAAAGTTTTCCTTCACGTAACTGGTGCGTTCAAGGTCATTCGCTGTGATTGGTAGTTAGTGGTGCTTAAAGTTTAACTTTGCCAGGACTTACGAATCAGAAGCTTGTAAACATTTTAAAATACACACAAGAGTAGATTATACCATTAGAGGTCATATCTTAATAGATTAAAACAAACCGAACAAGAGAAAATTTATGCAACAAAGAGAGATGGAAGTATTTTGTAGCCCAAGTTTTAAACAGGCCGCTACAAACGAAATTATTTGATTTAGCACACAATCATACGGTATTATTTACTGCCTGATAGCGTCTCGATGCACGTAGTTATATACTGTGATATTCAGTTCAGTGGTCTTTTTCAATGCACTCAATTTTCTAGAAATAACATGAATACCAGTGTACAACTCTGAAGTGTGTTAGGTCTACAAAAACAAAACAAAGCAAAATCATTTCATCAAAGTAGTAATTGCTTATATGCTGCACAGTAATGCAACTCAAGTGAGCGATACAGACTAAAAACTACACTTGTGATGTGAGTTGTGCTCTTTTTAAGAGTTAGGTGGTTGTAGGCATTCGATTTGTTTCAAGTTTCACCATGGGTTGATATCAGTTAGAGAACCATCGAAAATCCACATGGAGTACTGGACAGCTGTTTCGTTCTTGTTTTGAACTGAGCGTTTGTACCCACCCACCGGGGTTCGAACTTAGCACCTCCCGGTTAACACCATTCAACAACTGGGATCCAACTCAATGGCCAGCACTTCTACCATTTTGGTGATTTTAGCGTGACTAGTACCAGCCAGTGTTATCAACGGCGTGTATTTGACCTCACTCTCGACCTGATGGATCGCACTGATCACGACTTCTCCCTAGAACTGCAGGCAACTTTGCTGTGTAGCTGCTGTCACTAGTGAGCATCATATTAATTTCGAAGATTCATTTCAATTCCGACCACCGATCAATAACCAAGCTATCCAGCTTACAGAAGTCAAGGGAAGCTTTAAATGCAAAACTAACTGCTTAGAAATATACCGCCTAAACTAAATGAGAGACATATCCATCCATGTATTAGGAAGTTATAAATTTTTATTGCTGCTTGAAATTCCCGATAGAAACAAGAGTGATTTTTATTTCTTTCTTTTTTTCAACTTTCAGTTGGAAAAAGAATCAAGATATCCAAAGCACCTGAACAGTTGAATGTTAGTGATGTGACCAGCGAGATACCAGATAATATTTCAAGTATTTCGGCTATAAGACATGAAGAAGTTCAATTACAACAAGCAGGTAAGCTTGTATGCCTTTAAGTTATGTTATTATTGCTTGAGATTTATACCCCTACATCTGATAACTTCATTCTTAGGAATAAATACTCTTTGATTGGACATTAAATTATGTCATACGTCTAGTCATTTGTTTGCAATGTGGCTACCATTCTAGGCGGCTCACCATCACGGTACACTTCCAACTTTTGTTATTAGATGGATGGAAGCAGTCGGCAGGATGCCCTCCACTGAAATTCCGTGCTCGTTGGCAGTTGCCAGTCAGAATGTTATTTTTCTACAATCTTGAAGGAACTCATGTCCCGTGTGAGATTCAAACCTGTGTCACGCAGTGCTGCAGTCACAGACCTGACCACTAAGCTATTCCGGCTAGCGATTTACCTTTTGTAGGAATGTATTAGATACTTTGACTAGACATTAGCTAGTGCTGACGAGTGCACAAAAAATACGAAACATGGGTCAAAGTCTTCTTGACTATTGCGTCCAACCGTCTAATTAATATTCTATAGTCCTACTCAGAATTTCTTTTACATGATCTAATCAATCTGGGGAAGAAGCTTTAAAGTTGTGTACTGTTTTTTAAGCATTCCAAGACCCCAAGATCCACTCCTGAAAGCATGTACGATTTGCTATACTTTTTCAAAGTGATAAACTCTGGTATATACCTCATAGTAGTTTACTTCTCTTTAAATCATATGGAAAACATCAATTCATGAATAATCCCCATACAGACATTAGTGGAAAAAAATACATAGTTCAGAGAAGACGCCATCTTCGGAGAATTCATTTGCAACTTTAGCTGTACAATCCCATTAATATGATTTTTTTTCTCATGAAACACGGTAGTAACACAAGTGGGGAGTTGTCATAATCATAGTTGGTAATATTAGTCAATGCATAGAAGGAGGTAAATAAGTGTATCTAGAGTTACGTAATAAGACGAATAACTTAACGAATGAATTGTGATTGGGATAAACATAGAAACGCAGGAAAACATGTGATTCTGTCTGTCTGTTTTCGACATAGAACTTTGCACCGATGTGCGGCAGTTCAAGTCGCCACACTCCCTCCTCCTTGTAGCACACAAAGCAAGAGAAGAAAGTAGGAGAAATGAATATTAGAGACAGTAAACAGAGGTGTGAGACAAAGGTATAGTAATAACGAAGAACAAAACAGTTTCATTGGAAATCATAAGTCACAAGGAGTAGATGCATCTGCGCCAGCCATTGAGAACGAATTTGAGCTATGTCACCAATTGTTTCCAACCATTGGTTTTTACCGTCCCGAGGACCTCAACACAGGAAGTCTACACCTTCCTACATGGCTTAAACTAACTGTTGTGGATTTCGTTGACTGGTGCCATGTTTTGGTTTGACCGCCGCTAGCTCTTTTCCAGCCTGACCCTATGTCAGCTAACATTGCCCATCAGTCGAGGAAGGCGATGACTAGGCATACGTAACACATGTCCTAACCATCTCAGTCGATGTAACTTCACAGACTCGTCGATTGATTTCCCCTCCTTACCTAGCACTCGACCTATGCCTAACCTCAATATTGTTCACCTTATTATACCACTTCACACGGGAGATAGAACGCAGACACCTATGATCAAAGACAGCTAATCTTTTCATGTCTTCCACTCTCAGTGGCCAGGTCTCACAGCCATAAAGGAGGACGGAGCGGACTGATGAGCAGTGATTATGTAAGAGGAGATGGAAAAACAAATAAACAATAGAAAAATCAAGTCAGTAAAAATCAACACATTTGTTACCATGATATTAGAAGTAGCTGAATAATTATCTTTTGTGTGTGTGTGTGTAGCTCCGGCTTTTCTAACAGAATGGCTAAAACTTCAGCAGTGCAAAAGAGACGAAAGCGTTTTACATTTGGCAGGCTGTTCTTCACTTTGTGTAGATTACTTTGAAGGAGGAGGTGTTTGTTCAGATGGAGTGACCAGTTTTGACAGGATGTTCGATTATCACAATCCTTGTAGTGACACTATTATCGTGCTGCAGCCATGCGGGATAGTCTTCTTGAAACCTCTTAGGCAGGATACTCATCGAACGATCAATGTACCTGTCTTCAAAGCTACAAGTGAACTGATAAATACCCATAGAAGTGGTCAAATGCCAGATCTTGTCGTTAAGGATTCGTTATGGCCAATGGATGACTAGAGGACACTACTCTTAGTGTTTTTTGCGAAGAATATTTTTCTCAGGGATGCTGAAATTCTTCTCTTAGGGACATCACAGATGAAGTCTTACTTGAAATCCAAGTTCATATATAGTTTCTTTTGTTTTTTGAATAAGTTATGTATCGTTCCTCTGAATTTTTGGCTTGATATTCTTGTCAATAGATTTTGATTGATATCCATTTTGGATGAAGGCTTCTTTTAGAAGATCTATTTCTGCTTCTAGGAAGTAAGGACAACAGATGCATCGGATGCCAGTGGGAGGGATTTAATTATATTTCATTTTCCTTCAACAGTCCAAGTGGGTTTCCTATGGACAGACCTTCAGCGTTCACAGCTATAATTGTGACAATTCATTACTTTTGTTACTACTCTCTGTCATGAATTAACTGTATATGAAATGTGACTGTACAGGTGAAGAGGAAAATCGATTCGGTTGTCAGTCAATGCATGTGTCATAATTAGGGAGATTACAAACCTACATGCCATTAATGAATAATGATTACGTATTAGATGAGAGTTAACAGATTCTATAGAGTGTCTAGTCTTCGGTTAAGGCAGATTACGTCTCCTACACATAGCTGAAGCTGTTGCAACAAGATTGACTAGACCGGAACTTTGTATCCCAAAAGACCACGTCCAGACGCTGTTCCTTCCCTGGCCAAACTTGGACTAATGTTTCTCCTTCTCACTGAGAGTGCCTCTTCCCCTTAACCGTCTTGGTTTTTTTCTTTTCTTTGCTTATTATTACAATGATTATTATTATTATGCGTCATAATTGATACCCTTCATGCAAACATCCTCTCAATACTATCGAATTTCCCATTTATACAATCCGGACTTATTATTAGTGATACTATCTCTTTTCTCAATATATGCCTCCACCTGTTTCATTTCACACATTCATTATTTCATGATGAATCTCTCATTTTAGTCTTACTATCTCCTGTTTAATACATACCACTTAGTACTAGCCTCTCACCTGACACCTTTTATGACCTTGAACTGACCTGTCAATTTTCCTACCCCACATTCTACGATTCTATCATGACTAATCACCAACATTGTCACCCATTTTACAATATTTTGTAAACGATTTCAGAATAGCACGTTTGTCACACAAATACGACTATTTATTTTGACACCGCATAACTAATCTGTTATTCCCACGTTAAGAAAAAATGTATCCACCACATAACTGGCCATTATTTTAACGCCAACAAATATTATAATTTGTAATTGTAAGCACCTGAATGAAGAGGAGAAATTATTGGGAGGAATATTCTTCGTTCAGATTGACATTTAAGGCAGATTAGTGAAGCCTTTTATTATTGCTTGAAGGATTTCATCATGAGCTGACATCCGTTAAAGAACCTTTGGGAAACCAGCTGACAGTACTGGATAGCTGTTTCGTCAGCCTAGTTTGGAAATTTTCATCAGGATGCACTCACTGGGGTTCTGACCCAGGAGCTTCTGGTTACTAGGTGAGCTACCTCGTAGAGCATTCAGCCACTGGGACCCGATCCAATGACCACCGTACGAATTCCAACTCCTACCAGTTCACGATATATAGTACGACTACTGCCCAATATCATTGGCGGTGAGTTTTTCTCCTCACACTAAGATGACAACTTCAGATTATTCATGATTTATAGTGAAATTCGATTAAATTTCAAGATCTCTATTAAATAATGCATAAAAATGCTTATTTTCTTGTTAACTTTACATAGGATCAATGTGTAACAGACCAGTGAAATGTTGTTGCATAAATGTTAGACCGATAAAAAGAAACAAGAAAATATACTTCAGAAGCAGCGGAGCTGTTGGCAAGAAGATAGTATGCCGTGAGTTTATCACTGTTTGGCCATACTGTTTCATTTTCTGAATTATATTGAAAAGTAGAATTTCAAAAATTGGGTGAAATTACTCAGCCTATTTCATGGTAGATTAGCCTCGATAAAACTTTTAGAAATAATTGTTTATCCCACCTGGTTCTCCCTGTTTGTGCTTCAAAAAGATGCCTATGCACTATCCAATTTTTAAGAATTATGTTGAAATTCTATTTAATCCTATTCTCATTTTTATGACAATTTAGGAGGCAATCGGAAATATGTTCGATGCGGCAAAGGAGCTGGTAGCAGAAGCGTTGGGAAGCGCATAGTGATACGTGGAGGAGGAGGAGGAGGAGGAGGGAAACGAGTTCGAGTAGTTAGAGGTGAGTTTAAAAATGATTCTGATATTGTTGTGGCTTTAAGTATTTAAATATTTTGTTCTGAGTATAGTTCTAGTGATTACGCCTACCATTTTGACAGCCTACGTGCAAATGCGTACACAAACACACACATACACACACACTCATTGGAATGTTTTCGAAGCTGGAGTCTGTAAATCAATTTCACGCGTATATCAATCACCTGGACATGTTCATAATCCGCAAAGATGATACTATGGCATTAGGCAGCTATATAGACATCGCCATTTTGTAACTAGAAAACAACTGTTTGGAATTAAGCAGAATATTTTCAACAAGGTGAGATCTCACTCACTGTTCACGAGAATCATACATAAACGCTTCCCTGAGACAGTCAAGTTTCAGAATCACCTTAATATCAAATCCTTTAAGTTCCCAGTGGAACATAGAGCTTCAAGGTAGACGCTTGAAGTTTCGGCAGCGGTGGTGTTTAAGTTTACGGGATGATGTTGCTAGCCTCCAACCATTGCCCAACCTTCCCTCTTTACCATTAGGGGAGTGCGTCGGTGGCCGGGGTTTGAACCCCGGACCACATGCGTGGTTGGCCAACATTCTACCACTGTGCCACCGACACATAAGAGAACAATATTTTTTTTCAATTCGATCTCATTTTCATGCTTTACTCTAATTTGCATAGATTTTTATATATAACAACTTTAACCAATGACGGTAATTTTGTGGATCAAATAATAATAACGTGGTAAATGTTTTGAACGCCAGTAATAACGATGATTGTAGTGATAACAAAATAATGATAATAAAGTTTATGCACGTGGTGATAAGAATAACTCAAGGTAGTAATATCTGCATATGTAGATAATTCAGTAAATAAATTAGGTCAAATCTTAAAAGTTACGTAATACTGAAGGTGAAGTGGGCAGAAAATCAGAGTTTAAATAAGCATCATTAAAACAACACGAAGGAAGTGAAAAATAAGAAAGGGTGAGAGGTTTTAATTAGAATTTACCTAGGCGAAGGAAGAGAGACAAAGGTAGAACAAATTTCTTTTGTTGTATGCAAAGACTAGGATTGTTCTCTCTAAATAATTTCCATAGTTCCGTCTATGTGTAAAAGGCGGGTTTGAATTCCGTTCGAAGAGTTCGATGAAATGCGATAAGTAACTTTGTAAGCACTTCTTCTGTCCACTTGTTGACAGCTATCATCAATCGAATGAGTCAAAATAGAACCTCTTGTAGATTTTATTTGTCTTTTTGCTGAACCATGAAGGAAAATGCTCATGAATGCGTTTGTTGAGCTGCATAGTTGTTCTCCCTTGATACCCTGAAAACAAATTGAGACCTCATCAATATCATCACCTATCCATAAACATGAGCATAAATATTAGAAATTAAACACGAACAGGGACAAATAATAAGGACCACATCGACATGTGACAGTGATGCATTTAGATCATTCAGGAAGAATATCCGCAGCGATTATTTCGTCAAATTCAGGTTCTAATGCGCTCAGAGGACAATGAAGAGTAGTCATATAATGAGAAATATTTTTGAAGTCATTTGCATCAATGAGTGTCCGTGACAACACAAAAATAGCCTGTATGATCTTAATGCTTTTCCTGATTTCATAAAAGTTGGTTTAACCAATAGAGTAAAACGGTCAACTGAAAGCTATAGAAGTACTCAGAGTGGTAGGCTGGGAAATTAGTCGAAATGTGATCGAGAAGCGAATCATCTATGGGAAACAATAACACACTTTCAAGAGATTCATGTGTGGTACGATGTCAACTGATAAACCACAGCATTTGTGTGTCATAACTGGTGGGATAAAGCTATTCAAATACACAAAGAAAATAAATATTTACTTTTCTCTAATTCTCCTTGTCTGCATTACTTGAAGAAGTGCGTTTACCTTGTACTTTTATGAATTCTATTCACATCCTATTCATTCTTTTTTCGTTGATCACAATCTAGTGGGAGGGGGTGGAACAGTTGTGAAACGTGGCGTGAGGACTGGTGGCAAGAAGATCGTAAAGCGCGTAGTGATACGTGGAGGAGGAGGAGGAGGAGGGAAACGAGTTCGAGTAGTCAGAGGTGAGTTTAAAAATGATACCGTTGTGGCTTTAAGTATTTCAATATTTCGTTGTGAGTATAATTCTAGTGATAACTCCTAACATGTCGATAACATACGTGTAAATTCGCTCAAAAACACACACATACAGACATGCACACACACACTGGAATGTTTTCGAAGCTAGTGTCTGTAAATAAATTTCACCCGTATATCACCTGGAAATGTTCATAATCCGCAAAGATGATACTATGGTGTTAGGCAGCTTTACAGAGGTCGTTATTTTGTAAGTATAAAAGAATTGTTTGGAATTTATTTAGAATATTTTCAACAAGGTGAGATCTCACTCACTGTTCACGAGAATCACACATCAACGCTTCCCTCAAACAGTCGCTTGGTGAGAATCACCTTGATGCACTCAAACAAATTAAGACACGATCAATACCATCACCTATCCACAAACATAAGCATACATATTAGAGATTAAACAGGAAGAAGGGAGGACAAATCATAAGGACCAAATCGACATGTGATAAATGTGTAATTATGCGTCGATGGCATATCGGCTAGGACCCTCGACGACCATGCACATGGTCCGGGGTTGGATCATCTGCTGACGCATACCTGACATCAGTGGTCGGCCTGATAAATTTGGCTACCGATATCACAAGCTGAAAATTCCCTACTTGTACCAAAGATACAGGGTGGGATCAAGGTATAATCAAAAATAAAATAGTTAAACAATTATTTCACGAGTTGATCACTGATTGATATCAGTTAGAGAACCACTGGAAACCACCACGGAGTACTGGATAGCTGTTTCATACTACTTTGGGAATCACCGGCAGTACGCACCTACTGGGATTCGAACCTAGGACCTTCCGGTTACAAGGCAAGCTAACTCGTATACCATTCAGCCAATGGGAGCCGATTCAATGGCTCATGAATTCTAACCTCTACCGATTCGTGATTTAGCGCGACCCCAACCATTGTCGTTGGTGGGACATCCATCCACACACGTGACACCTAATTGGACCTCACTGGTGACGACTTCTCACTAGAACTCCAGGAAACTCCATCCTGTAGCAAGTCACTAGCGAGCATCAGATTAATTTTCTATAGTTTGGTTTGTAAGGGTTTGTTATGTATTTTTTATAGAAAACAATTATTTCGTCTAATTCAGGTTGTAATAAGCTGAGAGGAGAATGAATAATAGTCATAAACTGAGAATAATTTTTGAAATCATTTGTCATCACAGACTGTCAGTCATACACAGAAATGACCTCTGCATTCTTAACCCTTGTCTGAACTTCTGAAACGCTAATGTAACTATTCGAGTGAAACGGTCAACTGAAAGTTATAGAAATACTCAGAGTGGTAGACTGGAAATTAGTCGAAATGTGATCGAGAAGCGAATCACCAGTGCAAAACAATAACACACTTTCAAGAGATTCATGTGGTACGACGCCAATAAAACACCTCATCATTTATGTGTTATGACTGGTGGGATAAAGCTATTCAAATACACAAAGTAAATAAATATTTACTTTTCTCTAAAATTCTCTTTGTCTGCATTAACTGAAGGGGTGTGTGTACTTTCTATTTTTTTATGAATTCTATTCACATCCTATTCATTCTTTTTTCATTGATCACAATCTAGTGGGAGGAGGTGGAACAGTTGTGAAACGTGGCGTGAAGACTGGCGGTAAGAAGATCGTGAGAGGCGTAGTGGTACGTCGAGTTGGAGGGAAACGAGTTCGACTCGTCAGAGGTGAGTTTTGTGATGAATATTCTTTCGAGTGGTTTATTGAATGACTTTCTGTTTGACTATATTTGTACTCATCATTGATTTCTGGGATATCAGTGTGACAAAATTCATGAGAATTCGCACACATACGCACAAACGCACACACACTGGAGGGCTTTGGAAGCTGATCAATGCGAATCAAAATTTCACTTTGAATTCAGTTCATAATGCTCACAACTGATGCTTATTAATGTAGATTGTTTAGATTAGACGAAAGTTTGCTGTCATTAAGTTAGAGAATAGTCTTTAGCTGGAGTCATATATATATATATATATAAATATATATAGGGATATGATTAATATAACACAATCAGGAGCATACTAAAGGCAGCATCAGAGGGTTCGTCACCTCTTTCTCCCTTTTGTAATCGTATTGTGCTCTTAACTGTTTTCGTGTGGTTGAGTGTGTTTCGTAATGGATTTATAACAACGAGATATTGTAGTACTATCAAGCAAGGATCAGCAACAGAGATCTCTGGGAGCGAACCAAATCAGCAGGAACTGATCGTGAAATAAGTAGGTAGGAAGAAATGGAGATGGATTGGCCATACTCTGAGGAAACCATCAAGTGACATCACTAGACAAGCCATTGCTCGCGTGGAACCCGAAAGGAAAGCGGCGAGGTGGTCGCCAGTGTGAGGGTGACTTGGAGGAGGTGATGTGAAGAGGAGATGAAAGCGTGTGGGCGGACTTGGAGCCAGGTGAAAACGTTGGCAGAGAACCGAAGTCAATGGAGGCGCACGGCTGAAGTCCTATGTTCCCCTAGGAATTAAAGGAAACAATAATAATAATTAAATATCGGTTTGATGCGTCGGTGGTGTAGCGGTTATGACGCTCGCCGACCATGCATATGGTCCGGGGTTCGATACCCGGCCGACACACTCCTTTACCTCGCTAAGCCAGAAATAATTCTGGTGAAGAGGAAAGTTTTGGCATGTGGCAAGCAACCCCTTCCTGTAAAATAAACACTGCTACAGAAACTTCAAGCTACTAACTTGAAGCCCCATGTTCCACTGGGGACAGTGACGGGAAAAAAATCGAAAAAAAATATCGGTTTGATCTAATCATTTAATAAAAACACACGCAACCCTATAGCTCTCTTAGGTAAAGCCTGTCCACTAAACGCTCAATAACTCATTATAATAGGCTAGAATGCTAGTGTGTATGATAAAAAGGAAAATGAAACGTCGTTAAATTACCACCTCTTAATCGAATTGAATCTGATGCAATGTGAATTAAAAAGCCAGTGGGATAAAACTATTCCACTACACTATAATGAGTAGCTTCCATAATTTTGCTTACATTCAATATAATTTCATGTTGAATTTATTCTTGTTAGGGGTTAATTGCAATCTACTGAATTTGTAGAAATTCTGTACGAATATCACATGGCGTAAAATGTGCATGCAATTGTTTTTGTTTCATTTTCTAGCGTGGAAATAAGTGCACAAATCTAATGTCTAGAAAGTTAATCTGATGGTAGTTAGTGACTGGCTGATACACAGTGAAGTCGCCTGGAGTTCTAGTGAGAAGTTGTGACCAGTGCTATCCATCTGGTCGGGTGTGAGGGAGAATACTTGTCACTGATTACCTTGGCTACTGGCCTCTCTAAAAAAAAGGAATTAATGGAAATACAAATCGGCAGGGTTTTAAGTGGGTACGCAATGGCTAAATGGTGTATTGCATGAGGTTGACTTGTAATCCGCAAGGTCCTGAGTTCAACCACCTGAGAGTGGGTAATGACGGTGAGTCTGAAAACAAGGACGAAAAAGCCGTCCAGTACTCCCTGTTGGTTTTGAATGCTCCTGTGATTGATATCAGTCCGTGATTAATGCGGAAAGAAATCACATCCCTGAAGTTTAAAAGTAACCATTATATAAGGATATTTCAGCTTTGATTGTACCATATAAAGATGATTTAAAATTGAATGAATTGCTTCTTCCAATTCTCTTTCTCTGCATTATAAAAAGATGTGTGCGTAGTTTCCAATCTTGAGAATTTAAATTCACCTTCTACACATTCTATTCCCATTATTCATAATTCAGTGAGTGGAGGTGAGAAAACTGTGAAACGTGGCGTAAAAGCTGGTGGCAAGAAGATCGTGAAGCGCGTAGTGGTACGTGGAGGAGGAGGAGGGAAACGAGTTCGAGTAGTCAGAGGTGAGTTTAACAATGATATTCCTGTAGCTTTAAGTATTTCAATATTTCTTTGTGAGTATAATTCCACTGATTACGCTTACCATTTTGACAGCCTACGTGTAAATGCGTACACAAACACTTACATGTGCACACACACACACTCATTGGAATGTTTTCGAAGCTAGTGTCTGTAAATGAATTTCACCCGTATATCAATCATCTGGACATGTTCATAATTCGCAAAGATGATACTATGGTGTTAGCTAGCTTTACATAGGTCGTTATTTTGTAAGTATAAAAGAATTGTTTTGCAATTGAGCAGAATATTTTCAACAAGGTGAGATCTCACTCACTGTTCACGAGAATCACACATCAACGCTTCCCTGAAACAGTCGCTTGGTGAGAATCACCTTGATGCACTCAAACAAATTAAGACACGATCAATACCATCACTTATCCAAAAACATAACCATACATATTAGAGAATAAACATGAATAAGGACAAATCATAAGGACCAAATCGACATGTGATAAATGTGTAATTATGCGTCGAAGGCATGTCGGCTAGGTCTCTCGCCGACTATGCACATGGTCCGGGGTTCAGTCATCTGCTGACGCATACCTGACATCAGTGGTCGGCCTGCTAAATTCGACTGCCGATATCACAAGCTGAAAATTCCCTGCTTGCACCAAAGATACAGGGTGGGATCAAGGTATAATCAAAAATAAAATAGATAAACAATTATTTCGTCTAATTCAGGTTGCCATAAGCTGAAAGGAGAAAGAATAACAGTCATAAACTGAGAATAATTTTTGAAATCATTTGTCATCACAGACTGTCAGTCATACACAGAAATAACCTCTGCATTCTTAACGCTTGTCTGAACTTCTGAAACGCTAATGTAACTATTCGAGTAAAACGGTCAACTGAAAGTTATAGAAATACTCAGAGTGGTAGGCTGGGATATTAGTCGAAATGTGATCGAGAGGCGAATCACCAGTGCAAAACAATAACACACTTTCAAGAGATTCATGTGTTACGATGTCAAGTGGAATACAACAGCATTTATTGGTTATGACTGGTGGGATAAAGCTATTCAAATACACAAAGTAAATAAATATTTACTTTTCTCTAAAATTGTCTTTGTCTGCATTAACTGAAGGGGTGTGTGTACTTTCTATTTTTTTATGAATTCTATTCACATCCTATTCATTCTTTTTTCATTGATCACAATCTAGTGGGAGGAGGTGGAACAGTTGTGAAACGTGGCGTGAAGACTGGCGGTAAGAAGATTGTGAGAGGCGTAGTGGTACGTCGAGTTGGAGGGAAACGAGTTCGACTCGTCAGAGGTGAGTTTTGTGATGAATATTCTTTCGAGTGGTCTATTGAATGACTTTATTTTCTGATTATAAGTGTGCTCACTGATTACTGGGATCAGTTTGACAACATTCATGAGAATTCGCGCGCGCACACACACACACACACACACTGGAGGGTTTTGGAAGCTGATCAATGCGAATCAAAATTTCACTTTGAATTCAGTATCTTGTCACTGTGAAGTGAATCTCGGATTTTGCCGAGATGTGTTCATAATTCTGACAGTTTCATACATTAATTTCCCTTAAGGAATTTGAATAAAGGAAGAACAGCATTGGTTTTTGCAGAATAAAATTTAGGATCATTTATTTCGTTGGCTACTCATCAGTTGCTTACAGGCAAAAGTCATCATTAATTATATCTACAGAAGCATTTTTAAGATACTTGCACAGAGTTCATTTTAAACAAAAATGAATCCATATATGCATACAATAATATATGTATGTATAATAAACACTTTTAAAACAATTAGTTCCCTTTATGAATTTAGATAAAGCAATAAGAAGACTTAATTTGTCTGAATCGTGTAATGTATTTGCACAACACATTTGAAACAATCTGATCACACACAAGGAGTACATGTATATGAAATTAATAAAGAGTTAAGAGGTGAGAAAATAGACCACTTAGGTCAAGTTAAAAGAACATATTGAAGGTCAAAATAACAATGAAGATCACTAAACCAAATAAGAGAGGTAATAGTACATCTAATCTGTCTGGTATCAAAACAAAATTTACCAAGGAAGGTTTAATGTGATGACGAATTCGTTTTGAACGAATAGAGGTGGTTTAAACTTTCTAATCGCCAGCTAGGGCTTCCACAGACTTTAGGATACGCCCCAAACAGTAGATATAAAGTAGTCAGAACACCAAGACCCACTCTACAACTCGCCCCTAAGAAAGACGTGTACATCAAGCTACCCTATATGGGGTATTATAGCAGCTTAATAAGTAGACAAAGATTGAACGCTGCTGTTAAAAAGACTTTTGTGCAGCTAATATCATAATAATTGAGAATGTGAAGCCAATATATCCATCTAAGCCCTTTGAACATGTGAAAAATGATGTCACATCCCACTGTATTTACCAATTTGAATGTACGTGTAGGCACACATACATACATAGGGAGGACTGATCGATCTCTGCAAGTAAGGGTTGGCTTCACAGCATATTCCTAAATGGCTCCAAATCAAACAGAATCCTCAGAACCCATTAATGGTGAGAACAGGAGACCTAGCTTTTCTATTGTGAAACATATTATAGAGACAGGACATAAAATTGACGTTAACAGATCTTTTAAACCTATCTATAAAACGTGTTTGGGGGGTATCTTAATGTTTGTGGAAGCCCTAGCTGGCAATTAGGAAGTTTAAACTACCTTTGTGTGTTCAAAGCAACAATTCGTTATCACACGAAACCTTCCTTGGTAAATTTTGTTTTGATACCAGACAGATTAGATGTACTATTACCTCTGCTATTTGGTTTAGTGGTCTTCATTGTTATTTTGACCTTGAATATGTCCTTTTAACTTGACCCAAGTCTATTTTCTCACCTCTTAATTCTATGAATTTCACACATAATATTCCTATGACAAGTCGGTGTGTGTGATCAGATTGTTTCAAATGTGTTGCGCAAATACATTACACAGACGATTCAGACAAATTACGTCTTCTTATTGCTTTATCTAAAGAAACACTTTATTCCGAACAATAATGATGATACATAATGAAAACTTTCGACATTTCGTAATCAGATGAAAGACAGGCTGAAAATATCCAGTTAGCAGGGCAAGGAGAGACTGTAAACCGCTTCTTTTTGAACACACAATTCGGATTTCAGGCGCTTGATGGAGATTGCTTTGGCAACCTTGGGGAGAATAGAACACTGTTTTGCCTATTGATAATTTTGAATGATCTTGCCCTCTTCCAATTCTCTTTCTCTGCATTCATGAATTATATTCACCTTCTGCACATTCTATTCTCATTATCCATAATTCAGTGAGTGGAGGTGAGAAAACTGTGAAACGTGGCGTAAAAACTGGTGGCAAGAAGATCGTAAGACGCGTAGTGATACGTAGAGCAGGAGGAGGTAAACGAGTTCGAGTCGTTAAAGGTGAGTTTAAAAATGATATTCCTGATATTGTTGTGGCTTTTACTGTTTAAATATTTTGTTCTGAGTATAATTATAGTGATTTCCCTACAATTTCGACAAGATACGTGTAAATTCGCACACATACACACACACTGAAACGTTTTCGAAGCTAGTGTCTGTTAATGAATTTCAACCGGATTTCGCCCAGACAGACTGTGTCGTTGGGCACCTAAGCAGACATCGTCATTTTGTAAGTGGAAAATAATTAGTTGGAGTGAGGTCAAATTTCTGTCCACAAGAATCCCATATGAATGCTTCCTTCAGATAGTCAATTGTCAGAATCACCTTGATTCACTCAAACAAAATCACACGGTATAGTGACACGTTATCAGTGTATGGGACTGTCACAATGTGCAGCATTAAATTCAGTGAGTGAACGTGCAGAAAGACAAATAATGCGGATCAAGTCAACCTTTGGTATTCAAATATAAAAAATTAGCAATATACAGTCAAGGAGAACAAAAAAGGATAAAAGTTACTCAGTTAGTTTAAACATCCGTATAAGTAGTATAAGTAATTCGAAGAATCACGAAGAATGCTTTAAGGAATTATTTCGTCAACATCATGTTATGATAAGCTGAAAGGAGATGGAACTATGAGTTATATGCTGAGAAATACTTTTGAATGTATTGTCATCACAGACTCTTCACGATACACGAAGATAACTTGTGTGTTCTTAACGCTTGACTTCACCGTTCTAGTTAACCTGTTGAGACATCCTTAATTTAAGTTGGAAAATGAGTTCAAATAGTCAGAGAAGACGGAGATTATCTGAAAAAACTATGTGATGTATTTGCGCTATACATTTCGAACAACAATCTGATCCCAGACACATTTACTTGTCAGGTAAATTAAACAAAGTGACAGCAAAAGATTTAAGAATATTGATGGATACTCTTGTTGAAAATGGATATTCTTTAAGATTTTTAAACTGGTATAGAAGTCTATTAGTCTCTCTAAACCTACAATCTATACAATCCCTAAGAAAAATGTTTTTTCATCAAATTACCATATATAACGGGGAAATAAACAGTAGGATTTTGAGACCAGGGTTGAATTCGATCATCCGTAGAACCTATTATGCAGCCCAGCTTGTAATTGTCGAAATAGCTAAAAATATCCTCCACTGCCATACTCAAAAGTGCACAAGTGATTATATCACATCCCACACTATTACCAATTTTCATGTGTGTGTGTGTGGTCGCACATAAATAGGGAGGAGGGTGGGAGATCACATCCCAAAATGGTTAGAAAAACAAATGAAATGTGAAAAACCAATAGATGCAGGTGTCAGACCACCAACTTCGTCTATAGCTAAACACCTAATCGAGATGAACCATAAGATTGATGTTAATTCAGCCTTTAAGGTCATCGATAAAAACGGTCAATGGCGCTCACTGAAATACGCCGAGGCTATAGCAGTTCATAAACTTAAGCCACCCCCTGAGTAATTGTCATGATGTTTATTTTATTATTGTTAAACATGTTAGTTGTAAAGCGGTTGTAAAGAAACTACGAAATGATATCATCTCGCGAAATTTGTCTTCTTAATGCCTTATTCAAATTTATCAAAGGGACTAATTGTTTCAATATTCAAAAACAGTTTATTATTAAGGCATTAAGGTGACAGATTTCGTGAGATGATATCATTTCGTAGTTTCTTTACAACCGCTTTACAACTAACATGGTTAACAATAATAAAATAAAGTTCATGACAATTACTCAGTTAAATAAAAACAAAAGTACATACTAATGACCAATCATATTTAGATAGGTCAAGTAGTCCAGGGTAGGCGAAGATTGAAGTCTATTGATTTTTGTACACACAGTTTAGGCTGTATGTGATTAATCCAAAGTGCTTCCATCACATAAAGTATAATTATATTTCAATAGTGTACACACAATGATAAGTTTTGTTATTGGTAATTTTGCTCGAAATATTACCAATAACAAAACTTATCACTGTGTGTAAATATTGAAATATAATTATACTTTATTTGATCTAATCCACAATGCTCAAACTTTTTACTGATATTAATTGCTTCCATCACCTTCAATAACCTTGAATTAGAGTTATGTGAAATAATTGTGAAACAGTCATTAATATTGATTTTGTGACCTGACATTAATAAGTGCTTTACAATGATGGATGATGCCGGATTTCTATTCAGATTACTGGCATTGGGATTTTCTATGTGATTTAGTAGCCATTTTGGAACATGTTCTTTCCGACGACATTGGAACATTCTGTTGGTTCTACGTATATAGGTGTCACCGCAGATGCAGGTGAACTTGTAGATACAGTTTGAAGTAGAGTCCACAGAATTTCGTCCTTTAATCGTAGGTACAGGGATCGAAAATGTTCGGCAAGTGAGAAAAACAGATGCGGCGTAGAATGTGCGTTTGATGGCTGACTGAGTAATTGTCATGAACTTTATTTTATTATTGTTAAACATATTAGTTGTAAAACGGTTGTAAAGAAACTACGAAATGATATCATCTCGCGAAATTTATCTTCTTAATGCCTTATTCAAATTTATCTAAGGGACTAACTGTTTTAATTTAGTTTATCATTACTCCTAACCTACCTTGGTAATCCTTATTTGATTGGATTACCAAACGTTGTGTTAATCATTCTTAAATCCTTTTTTGTCACTTTGTTTAATTTAACTTTTTCATATATATCGATATGATAAGTAAATTTGTGATGGATCACATTGTTCGAAATGTATATTTCAAATACATCACATACCTCTTCAGATAATCTCCGTCTTCTAATAACACTATCCAAATTTATAAAAGGAGGGATCAATTGTTTTAATTTTTTGTAAAGAACACTCCCTCCATGCCTTTAAATTAACATAACACTATATGAAGGCATTGATCTGATGGAATGTGAACTGATACAGTTCATGTTTAAGTGTTTTGAGACTAGTTAGATAAAACTATTCAAATACTGTGACATATTTCCTTTTGAATTGTAAAACTATGCATTTAAAAGAAGGATTAAATCACCTCAGAACCTTTATGCACTACATTACTGGAAGTACAAACTATTATTATTATTACTGTTTCCTTTAATTCCTAGAGGAACATAGGACTTCAGCCGTGCGTCTCCATTGCCTTCGGTTCTCTGCTCGAGTCTTCACCTGGCTCCAAGTCCGCCCACATGCTTTCACCTCCTCTTCACATGACCTCCTCCAAGTCACCCTTGCACTGACGACAACTCGCCGCTTCCCTTTCGGTTTCCACTCAAGGGCTTGTCTAGTGATGTCACTTGATGGTTTCCTCAGAGTATGGCCGATCCATCTCCATTTGTTCCTGCCTATTTGTTTCACGATCGGTTCCTGCTGGGTTGGTTCGCTTCCAGAGATCTCTGTTTCTGATCTTTTCTGGCCGGCCGTCTGATCTTGAGTATTGAGCAAAGACAACTGTTAATGAAGTACAAACTATGCTTCAACTTTAATAATTGAATCATTGATGAGAGTGTCTAACTGACAAATCAAGAGAGACAATTCACTATACTGCTTAACTTTCACAGTCTATACAATTTCATACTGAATTTATTCTTGTCAGGGGTTAATTCCAGTCGATTGGATTTACAGGCGTATTACTAACATAAAATACAACAGTCACACCGTGTACAATTTGGATATTTGTTTTATCGTAGTTGATGTGGTTTCAATATTCCCGTGGGCAAATAAATGCACACGTCCTTATTTAAGCTAATTTTTACATAGTACCATTACTGATGTAATGGTAATATCATAGGGCTTCAAGATACAACAGACTTGAAGTTTCAGTATCAGTGGTATTTACTTTTAAAGGATGGGGTTGATAGCCTCATGCCGAACTGCCCCTCTCTTTACCAGTCTTATGACCGTCTTAATAAGGTTGTGGAGTGCGTCATCGGTCAGGGACCGAACCCCGAACCACCTACGTGGTTGGTGAGCATCCTACCACTGTGCCACCGATTCACTTCATAATCGTACACCTTTCGCTTATTCTTTCTTAATCTTTATCACAAAAGGATGTGTGTGTGTGCATGTGTGTAGTTCTTTTGCATTTTTAAGCATTTTGCTCACATTCTACGCATTCTATTTTCGTCAATATCAATTTAGGAGAAGGACATCGGAGAAAAGTGAAACGTGGTAAAAAGATTGTGAGACGTGTAGTGATACGTGGAGCAGGAGGGAAGCGAGTTCGAGTAGTCAAAGGTGGGTTTAAAAGTATAATTCTTGATTATTTAAAATATTTTATATTGACTATGATTCTGTCATTCTGAGTACTTCAATCAGTTGGATAACGCACACGGAAATGCACATACACCCACACATCCACACAAACACCGGGAGGTTTTCGAAACGTTCGATTAAATTGTGGTGAGAGCTCATTGATATAAGAATAAAACTTGAAGGTGAACATTTTCGACAAGTGGATGGCGTTGCTATGGAGAGTCCATTAGGACCTTTATTAGCGGACGTTTACATGCCTTATGTTGAAAACTTATCTTCTGATTTAATTTCTAAATTGCCTTTCTATAAGAGATATGTAGACGATATCATTTTGATATGCGACGATCATGAAGATGCGAGTCGTGTATTAGACAGACTTAACTCTGTACAGAATCATATTAGTCTTACATGCGAGGAAGGAAGTCACAACCAGCTCGCATTTTTAGACATACTTCTGAGTCGAAGAGACGATGGCTCAGTAAGGCGGTCTGTCTACAGAAAGCCCACTTGGACAGGGCAATACCTTTATTTTCACAGCTTCTGTCCATTGCAGTATAAGAGAGGCTTGGTGAAGTGTCTATTTAAGAGGATTCAGCGTATTTGCACGACTGATGTTATAGACAAAGAAAACGAAATATTGATGGATACTCCTGTTGAAAACGGATATCCTTTGAAATTTTTAAACAGGTGTAGAAGTCAACTAGCCTCTAAACCTACAATCCATACCATACCATATAACGGGGAAATAAATAGTAGGGTTTTGAGACAAAGGTTGAATGCGACCATCCGTAGAACCTACTATGCAGCCCAGCTTGTAATTGTGGAAACAGCTAATAATATGCTTCACTGGAAACCTCAAAAGTGCACAAGTGATTATATCACATCCCACACAATTTACCAATTTTCATCTGTGTGTGGACATACATACATAGGGAGGAGTAATCGCACGTTGCACGTGAGGGTGGGAGAGCATATCCCAAAGTGGTTAGGAAAACAGATGAATTGTGACAAGCCAATAGATGCCGGTGTCAGACTACCAACTTCGTCTATAGCTAAACATTTAATCGAGATGAACCACAAGGTTGATGTTAACTCAGCCTTTAGGGTCATCTACATAAGCGGTCAAGGACGTTTACTGAAATACGCTGAGACTATAGCCACTCATAAACTTAAGCCGTCCTTGTGTATTCAAAAACAGTTTGTTGTTACTCTTAACCTACCTTGGTAATCCTTATTTGATTGGATTACCAAACGTTTGTGTTAATTATTCTTAATTCTTCTTTTTGTCACTTTGTTCAATTTAACTTTTCCATATATATCGACTTGACAAGTAAATGTGTGTTGGATCAGATTGCTCGAACCTCCTCTCTGTTTACCAGTCTCATGACTGACTTAACAAGTTAAATGAGTGCGTCATCGGCCAGGGAGCGAACCCCAAACCACCTGCCTGGTTAGTGAGCATCCTACCGCTGTGCCACCGATTCCCTTAAAAATCATACACCTTTCGCTGATTCTTTCTTAATCTTTATCACAAAAGGATGTGTGTGTGTGCATGTGTGTAGTTCTTTTGCATTTTTAAGCATTTTACTCACATTCTATTCATTCTATTTTCGTCAATATCAATTTAGGAGAAGGACATCGGAGAAAAGTGAAACGTGGTAAAAAGATTGTGAGGCGTGTAGTGATACGTGGAGCAGGAGGGAAGCGAGTTCGAGTAGTCAAAGGTGGGTTTAAAAGTATAATTCTTGATTATTTAAAATATTTTATATTGACTATGATTCTGTCATTCTGAGTACTTCAATCAGTTGGATAACACACACGGAAATGCACATACACCCACACATCCACACAAACACGGAGAGGTTTTCGAAACGTTCGATTAAATTGTGGTGAGAGCTGTCTGCAAGCCAAAATTACAGACAACAATTTATGTCAATGTTTACTTCCCGAATATCGGGGTCATGAGAAAAAACAATAACAAGACATAACCTTGAGGAACTCACCAACCAATCACAGCAGACTTGACGTGTGCAAATACGATTCGCAGATAAATGGCTTAGCTTTCTAAGAAACGGTCACAAGCAGTACAGAATAACCTACGGAAAGAAAACGGCCAATCAGAGTAGTTTGCTTCTCTGCTAACAATAACGCGAATAATAATGCACATAAAAATCTATAAATACCTCTAGATTTTCTCAGTACACGATCTGCTGATACATGATTCTTTGTTTTAATAATTGAATGGAGGTATTTCATAGATGGCTAATCTCGCTCGCCGACCATGCATATGGTCCATGGTTCGATCCCCAGCCGATGACTCACTCCTTTACCTCGCTAAGTCAGAAATAACGCTGGTGAAGAGGAAAGGTTGGGCATGAGGCTAGCAACCCCATCCTGCAAAATAAACACTGCTACAGAAACTTCAAGCCTCTAGCTTGAAGGCGCCCTATGTTCCACTGGGGAACGTGAAGGAAAAAAGTAGATGGTCAATCTAATGAAATATTAATGAGATGCTTCTTTGTGAATTCTAAACCTATGCATTTAAATTGCATTGAAACTTCTCAGAATCTGCATTCCCTATACCATTTTTTTAATTCCTTTACATTCCAAGTGGAACATAGGGGGCTTCAAGCTAGAGCTTCGAAGTTTCGGTAGCAGTGGTGTTTATTTTTACGGAATGGGGTTGCTGGCCTCATGCCCAACCTTCCTTCCTTATCAGTCTTACTACTGGCTTAGCGAAGTAAAAGAATGCGTCGTCGGCCGGGGATCGAACCCCTGACCACATTATATATCTCAAATTTGATAAAATGCAATAATGATTCACCTTTAGTTAATTCTTTTTATCTCTATTGTAAAAAATGCATGTACATTCCTCTTTTGAAGAATTTTACTTACATTCTACTGATTCTATTCAACTAAATATCAATTTAGGAGAAGGGCATCGGAGAAAAGTTAAACGTGGTAAAAAGATTGTGAGGCGCGTGGTGATACGTGGAGCAGGAGGGAAACGAGTTCGATACGACAAGAGTGAGTTTGTGAATAACAGTGCTGTACCTTATTTTAAATATTGTAATTCTACTAATTACTTCGACCAACTGGATAGCATAAATGGGAGTGAGCAGCCTACAAAATCTGGAAGGTTTTCGAACCGGGTCGGTGCAGACAGTGCAAATAAATTTCATTTTTCACCGACTGTTTCAACATTTTGAAGTGTATCTAGGTTTTTTTAAATTATCCTCACAATTAGTATCGAACTCACTGAGTCTGGGTTAGACGATATCTATTACGAGAGATTAAAACTGCCAGTATAGTTTGCATGACTGATACAGTGACTCCAAATTTATTATGCTGGGAATCATTTGTAGTTCTAGTGATCCCAGAGAAGATGAACATTCCTGTCCAATCAGTTAACGGGAAAATCAAAATAGAATGGATTACACAAGAGGTGGTGGCTCTCGTCACCCAACTGGTCTATTGGATAACGCTTTGACGTTTGAAACTATGGGTTACAGGATTTCATCATGAACTGACATTGGTTAGAGAACCATTGGAAAACCAACAGGGAGTACTGGACAGCTGTTTCCTCCTTCCTGGTTTGGGACCCTTCATCAGTACACACGCACGGGCACGGTTCGAACCCAGGGCCTTCTGGTTACAAGGCCAGCGAGCTCGTAGACCATTAAGCCACTGGGACCCAATCCAATGGCCAGCCCATGAATTCTAACTTCTGCCAATTCACGATATGGCGCGACCCCTAGCCAATGTCTTCGGCGAGTATTTGTCCTCACACCCAACCTCCTGCACCCTACTGGTCACGAATTCCCATTAGAACCCCAGGTAACTACCTACCTGAATAGAGCCATTCGCTAGTGAGCATCTCATTGATATTCAAGTATTGGTTTTTAGGGATTTGGTTGATTGGTTAAGGGATTTCATCATGAGCTGACATTGGTTAGAGAAACAGCTGTCCAGTACTCCCTGCAGGCTTTCCAATGGTTCTCTAACCAATGTCAGCTCATGATGAAATCCTGTAACCAATCAACAGAATCCCTACAAACCAATACTTGAAACTATGGGTACTGGGAACACCATCACTCACTCACTGAGTGGGAAATGCAGGTACATCCGCTAGCTGACGAGTCCCAGAATGGGTGAAAGGCACATATTGGATTCCTTATTATTAGTCACCATCCAGGAAAATACTAAAAGCTAAATTGCTCTACATGATAAGGCCAGATAATTCGTCAAAGTGATCGAAAAATATATCACCTGTACATAACATGAACACACACTTTCAGGCTTTTTATCTCATGAAATGGGAATTCAAAACAACTCATAATAAAGTGGGATAAAATTTGTTGAATCGTTCGGAATTGTTATTAAAACACCAATGTCAGGTAATGAAGTATTTTACCTTTACAACTTTAGCATACAATGTAATGAATTTCATTGCTTTCTGTTAAGTCACCGTTTTAAGGTATGTACTTAGACACGCATGGCTTAATCTCTGAGACAGGCATATGACTACTGGCAGGATCAGCCAGTTTATTCACACAGTGATACACCTATTGACTGGGTATTGGTTTTCAGGAGAACCAAACACACCCATCCGTGCCTTTTGCGAGATGAGACCAGCATGCAGGATCATCCTGTGGTGCAACCACTCGAGAGCCCTCTCCCTCGGTGGACCATTCGCACCGTTAGTATATTAACGATAGGTAAGCATTGTTACGCCGATCGTTGATCGCGTCAATCAATTACGCACTGCATAGACAAGCCCAATGGAAATCATCTCGCATACATGACTAGCCAAACGTATTATTATATATGCAAAAGTAGCACGCATAGCATCGCGATAGTGACAATAGGCCCCCATAAACGAAGCCAGCAGCCACCAAATTCAATGAAATCGTTATCCGTGCCATCCAATTTAGCATGCAAACAGCTTCTATACGTCTGCCAAGACTATAGACAACCATACACAGTCATATAAGCGAGCAGTGAGAACTGGCTGGCTCATGCTCATATCGTCTATATAGCTTATGCTGAAAGCTTTTTGTTATTCTTTTGTTTTTTCTTATCATATATGCAAAGATGGCAAACGAATTGTTGTGAGAATTAAACGTACTAGAAGGACAGTAACAGATAGACCAGATGGACTGAGAAAGATGAAACGTAGACTTCGACGAATAAGAAGGAGAATGATAATAAGAATTAAAACTATACACGTTCGTAAGTTATCTGTTTCATTGAGTTTAATCCTGACATCTAATTTGAATTTTAAACAATAATCATGAATCATGTAAATGTGAGTTGACACCTCTTCGTTTTCAGCTTTGTCTGCAGTTGCAGAGATTTCATTCCTAGTAGGCGTGATCACGTGCAGACACACGCTCAGTTAGAGAAACACTTAAAACTAGCAGACACTGCTGGATATCTGTTTCTTCCACCTGGTTTGGAACTCTTCTGCAGTGTACACCTGTCGAGGTTCGAACTCAGGACCACCTTCCAGCTACTAGGTGAACTCATAGACCATTCAGCCGGTGGGACGCGATTCAATGGCCACCTTTACGAGTTCCAACTTCTGCCAGTTCAATTTTTTCTATCTTCATAGCACAACGGCTAGTCAGTGTCACAGGCCAGTAAATAATCTCTTACCTGACTTTGTGGATCACACTGGTTTAGCAGTCTCCTTTTTTACTTGTTTGCTCCTTTATTATATTATGAAATAATACGTGTTGTAATTATTAATAATAATATTATCAAAATTATCCTCATTGCTTACAGATGACAAAGATGGCACAGTGGTAACTAAAACCATAAGAAGGAAACGAACACCGTCTGAAGATTTTATTCCTTTTAAAAAGACGAAGCATTCTGTTCATAAAAATATATCTGATGGCATTAAGCATATTGACATTTGTAAGTGCTTAAAATAATTTTCAACTTTCCTCTAGTTGTTATTCAAGTATTTTTTATAGGGATTTGATTGGCTACAGGATTTTTATCATGAGCTGACATTAGTTAGGGAACCATTGGAAAACCAGCCACAGGGAGTACCGGACAGCTGTTTCATCCTAGTTTGAGACTCATCAGCAGTACGCACCCACGGGCACGGTTCGAACCCAGGACCTCCTGGTTACAAGGCCAGCGAGCTCGTAGACCATTAAGCCACTGGGACCCAATCCAATGGCCAGCCCATGAATTCTAACTTCTGCCAATTCACGATATGGCGCGACCGCTAGCCAATGTCTTCGGTAAGTATTTGTCCTCACACCCGACCTGCTGCACGCTATTGGTCACGACTTCCCACTGGAACCCCAGATAACTAACTAGCGGAATAGGGCCATTCGCTAGTGAGCCTCTTATTAATATTCAAGTGTTGGTTTGTGGGGATTTGGTTGATTGGTTACAGGATTTCATTATGAGCTGACATTGGTTAGAGAACCATTGGAAAACCAGCTGGGAGTACTGGATAGCTGTTTCGTCCTATTTTGCGACTCTTCCTCAGTACGCACCCACCGGGATTCCTCTAGTTGATTAGTTCGCTAGCTATGGAGACAGCTGACCATCACTTAGTACACTGTCCTTTAACTATTTAACCAGATATATTTTCGTAGCCCTAGATGGTGTAGTAGATTATAGAATGTCGAATCCACCAACTTTATTATCAATGCTAAGTTTTCTTCATTCATCACTATATCATTAATATGCCCTTGGGTACCGAGTAGAGCATTGGACTTACAAAGCATATCTCTATTTTGTCCTATTCTCCTCAGTCTTTCCACAATTGTCCACAGTCTCTCATCCCTTCCTCACACAACCGTCTCAATGTCACTCTCACGACCTACGCCCAGCTTATTTCACATTCCGGTTAGCACTCAAGTGATGGCCTGCATTGAGTACGATGTCATCTGACAGTCTCTTCAACGTTTGTTCAGTCCACCTTCATTTTCTTCGGAATATTCATTGAGCAATAGGTTCCTAAACTGGTTCATTCCAGGAATTTCTTGTTGGTGTCCTTTTCTAGCTGGCCATCTAATCTTAAATATTGATAGAAGTCTGCAGTGACCTGTCGGAAATGTTTTTCATGATACGCAGTAGAAGAAGTGATTGAGTTCTTTTTTGTATCCGCAGAGTGCAGATTTCAGTACTCTTTGTACTCTTTGTACACTTATAAAGCTTATATCAAAGAATTCAGATTTTCAGAGGCCAGAGTTATGTTAATGAAAATTGAAGTACTAAACCAAATGACCAGTCTTTTTATAAAAAAAATAATTTTCATTCCTTTTCGCTTCTATGGAACTTTAAGCTTGAACTTTTCAGTTTCAATAGCAGTGCTTGTTTCACAAAGCGCGACTGTTATCCTCACGCTTCACATTTCGTGTTTAACGAGTTTATTATGATCACTGGATTAACGATGCTTTTAGGAATGAGTCGGCCGGGTATCGAACACGCAGTATGTACATGGTTTTTTGAGGATTCCGCTAATTAGACTACTGATATGCAACAGTAGCTAGTAGACATTTCTAAAGTTTAACACCAACTACACTTAATTTGATTTGAAGGATTCTCTGGATATTCTACGGAACATTTAAATTTGTATTCGTAAATTACGCCACCAGAAATAAATATTATTTAAAAAAAATTTAAAAAGTCACTACAAAGAATGCATCGAATCAAGTGAAGCTATCAATAAGGGAGAGAGGATGAAACAGTAGAAAGAGCAAAAACAAGCAACAAGAGGGAGAGAAAAATAAGCAAAAACATGGAAAAAGGAAGAAAGGGAAGCGAAACCGCGACAAAAAAACACAAATAAGAAAAATAATTTTAAAAAATCATAATACAAATTTTTGTCATAACAAAAAAATTAAAGTAAAGATTTATTATATTAATCTACAGCTGTGACAAGACCACCTGAAGCGGAGTACGTGAACGTGACGGACAAACACGGAAAGGTAGTCGCACGATTCCGACGTCGAAGGAGACGCAGGAGAAGAGTAGAAACACCAGGTAAGATGGATAGATGATTGTGAGTGGAATGTTTTCACGAGTTTTGCAGTCATATTGTAGACAGTTAGCCAGCCAAAACAGCGTCTGATAAAATTGCATAAAAAGTGTATAAAATTGCGTTGCGAGAAAATTTCATTTAAAAAATAGACACGAACATCGAGAATTGTACATGACGAGAGTGAGAAAAGTACTTCTGCCAAAGACATCGACAGACATAATGGAGAGAAGAGGCGCGTAGGACGAGTAACAGTGTGATCCTGAGTCGAAGCAGATTGACGTCATATGCTTGCGTATGTGAGTGTTTGCGAGTGTAGCTCGAGGATGTCGTCTGTGTGTAGAGTGTGAGAGTGTTGTCTTATGTTGTGTGGTGTTGTTTGATCGTGTTTGTGGACGAGGAGTGGAGTGGTGAGCTTCTTCACTGGTGAGTGTAAAACCCACAGGTTTGTAATGAATTGTAGTAGGGTGAATTAAGAGTGTAGAGAGGAGACTGTGAACAATGGATGTTTCAGCTGGGATTCAAGGATTCGGATATTGCCGCAGGGATTGCTAACAGTGAAATGAGGGTGAGGAAGGTAAAACATTAGCGACATCCAGTGAGAGAGTGAGAAGGCTGAGTGGCGTTGAGCGATGATGCTGAAGGATTGAGAAGTTAAACAGGGTGGTGAGAATAAAGTGCGAGAGACTGATGGACAGAAAGAGATACAAAATTAGCAGGATAAACAGAAAAAGAGAACGAATGAAAAATCGATCATTTGAGGACTGAGTGAATGAGAGAGATATCCGAAAATAATACGCAGACGAGAAGAAAAAGACAGCTGGAGAAGAATTCGTCAACGTGACGGACAAGGTCGGAAGGGTGGTGGCTCGATACCGACGAAGGAGGAGGCGACAAACGAGAGTTAGACAAGAGGGTAAGTAGTCGTATTCACGTGAGTCGATGGAGAGTGTGTGGATTTGTTGTGGGCAATGCAGGAGTGTTGTCCGTTTGTGGACATTGTGAGTGGGTGAGTGAGTGTGTGATTGAGTGATTCAGTGACTGAGTGAGTGGGTGAGTGAGTGGTGTGAGTTAGAGAGGAAGGGATTGACTGAGGGAGGGTTTGCGTGAGTGAGTGTTTGAGGGAGGCAGCGGCTGAGTGAGCGTTTCAGGGAGTGTGTTGGGTTGTGAGTGATTGAGTGATTGAGCTAGTGAGAGTCAGTGTGAGTGTGATGGTTTCCGTGTGGGTAGATTCTAGTCGAGGTGTTATTTGCGGCTAGTGTGTGATTGGTGATGTGTGTGGTTGAGTGTGTGCGTGTGTGTGTGCGTGTGTGTGAGTGGTTTGATGACAGTGTGAGAGATTGTGAGTGTGATTGAGTGAGTGAGTGAGTGAGTGATATGTGGAGTGAGGGAGGAAGTGGATGACTGGGTGAGTGATTGAATGTGTGAAGCGGAAATGGAGAGTTGTGTTGTGAGATTGTGAGAGACCGACTGAGACGGATTGACTGAGTGACAGAGTGACAGCCTGACATACAGTCAGCCATAGAGACATAGAGACAGACTGACAGCGAGAAGGATGTGAAGCCTGACTGACTGACTGAGTGACTGGCTGGCTGACTGACTGAGTGACTCACTGACCGCCCGACTGACACAGTCTTCTTCTTCTCTGTTTCAGGCGAAACCACGACACCTGGAGAAGAATTCGTCAACGTGACGGACAAGGTCGGAAGGGTGGTGGCTCGATACCGACGAAGGAGGAGGCGACGAACGGAAGTCAGACCAGAGGGTAAGTAGTCGTATTCACGTGAGTCGATGGAGAGTGTGTGGATTTGTTGTGGGCAATGCAGGAGTGTTGTCCGTTTGTGGACATTGTGAGTGGGTGAGTGAGTGTGTGACTGAGTGATTACGTGAGTGAGTGAGTGAGTGAGTGCGTGTGTGAGTCAGTGAGGAAGGGATTGACTGAGGGAGGCATTGCGTGATTGAGTGTTTGAGGGAGGCAGCGACTGAGTGAGCGTTTCAGGGAGTGTGTTGGGTTGTGAGTGATTGAGTGATTGAGCTAGTGAGAGTCAGTGTGAGTGTGATGGTTTCCGTGTGGGTAGATTCTAGTCGAGGTGTTATTTGCGGCTAGTGTGTGATTGGTGATGTGTGTGGTTGAGTGTGTGCGTGTGTGTGTGCGTGTGTGTGAGTGGTTTGATGACAGTGTGAGAGATTGTGAGTGTGATTGAGTGAGTGAGTGAGTGAGTGATATGTGGAGTGAGGGAGGAAGTGGATGACTGGGTGAGTGATTGAATGTGTGAAGCGGAAATGGAGAGTTGTGTTGTGAGATTGTGAGAGACCGACTGAGACGGATTGACTGAGTGACAGAGTGACAGCCTGACATACAGTCAGCCATAGAGACATAGAGACAGACTGACGGCGAGAAGGATGTGAAGCCTGACTGACTGAGTGACTGGCTGGCTGACTGACTGAGTGACTCACTGACCGCCCGACTGACACAGTCTTCTCCTTCTCTGTTTCAGGCGAAACCACGACACCTGGAGAAGAATTCGTCAACGTGACGGACAAGGTCGGAAGGGTGGTGGCTCGATACCGACGAAGGAGGAGGCGACGAACGGAAGTCAGACCAGAGGGTAAGTAGTCGTATTCACGTGAGTCGATGGAGAGTGTGTGGATTTGTTGTGGGCAATGCAGGAGTGTTGTCCGTTTGTGGACATTGTGAGTGGGTGAGTGAGTGTGTGATTGAGTGATTCAGTGACTGAGTGAGTGGGTGAGTGAGTGAGTTAGAGAGGAAGGGATTGACTGAGGGAGGGTTTGCGTGAGTGAGTGTTTGAGGGAGGCAGCGACTGAGTGAGCGTTTCAGGGAGTGTGTTGGGTTGTGAGTGATTGAGTGATTGAGCTAGTGAGAGTCAGTGTGAGTGTGATGGTTTCCGTGTGGGTGGATTCTCGTCGAGG